TTTGAGAAACAGAGTGAGACAGTGTGAGTGGGGGAGGGGCAGAGAGAGAAGGAGACACAGAATCCGAAGGAGGCTCCAGGCTCTGAGCAAGCGGTCAGCACAGAGCCTGATGTGGGGCTCAAACCCATCAACCGCGAGATCATGACCCGAGCCGAAGTCGGACGCTCAACCGACGGAGCCACCCAGGCGCCCCAAGTCATTGCCAGTTTTTAAAAGGGGAGTCCAGACCCATTTAAAACTCCAAGCTCAGCTTCTGCCCTCCCTCTGAGACCTCAGGGGGTTGGAAGGACCCGTCAAGGGCCTGGTCTGCTCCCTACAGTGCCAATTCTGCCCCCTGCTCTCCCAGGGCCTGAGGCCAGGCTGCTCACTGTCCCTCAATATTGCTCCTCCCTTCTTCCGCAGATGTGCACCCTCTGAATTTTAGTGGGGCACGTGGTGGCCCAGAGCAAGGCTGTCCCCCTAGGCGCCTTGGCACCAGGGATATCGTGGGACTCTGTTTTGGCCAATGGAGTGTAAGCACAAGTGGGAGGGAGCTGTCCTCCTCCCCACGGACCGGAACTAGCACCGCTGTCACCGTCTCGGACCACGAGGTGGGTCTGGAATAGAGGCCGTCACAGCAGGGAGTGGGCCAAACGGAGCCCGGGCCCCTGACGGCCTGTGGGTCCCGGACCACCCACTTGGACACGAAAGAAAACTCAAACCCCGGCCTGCTCCCCCCGTGGTTATCCCGGGCTTCCCGTCATTGTGCCTTCCCGCTAACAGATTCCCTGCTGCACAGTAGGTGCACGATATTCTTTCGAACGACTGGCTGGGCCGAGAGGTACGGGAGCTGAGCCGGGGCTGGGGCGGCGTGGCCCTGTGCCTGTGTGTCCTCAGCGTTACTGGGAAGGCGGACTTGCCCAGGTTTTATGTGATCTCTGCCTCTTCCTCTGCTGGGGGTGGGGTGGGGTGTGTCATCTTACCCACTCCAGAACTTGCCTGCCAAGCGGACCGAGCTTCTGCAAGCTAGCTCTGGCCTGTCCCCGCCCCTCGCTTCCTCCTCCCCTGGAGAGAAGGACGGAGTCTGATAGGTGGGTTTGGAATGGCAGGCAGGCAGGCACAGCCGCTTCCTGCCCCTCGTCTCTTGGGAGTCAGGCGCTGATTGGCCCAACACCTCCTGCTCTGCCCCTCCGGGACTGGTTGTGTGGAAGTGGGTCCCATAGGACAAGGCCGTGGTGGTGGCCTTCCAGTGCCCGCAGGGCCCGATTCTGGGGCTCAGTGTTAGGAACTGCCCTGGCAGGTCCTCCCGTGTATGATGCGAAGGTGACATCTGTCTCTCATCTTGCTGCTTTGACGTGCTTCCCGATGGCTGCAGAACTCAGGTTGGAGAAGGGCAAGGCATTTATTTGTCCAGCGACCCCCAGCAGCAGCTGTCACCTCTGACTGTGGGGGACGCCGGGGCCAGACAGGGAGTGTCAGAGCACCAGAGCATGCAGGTGGCCCTTCCGCCAAGTGCCCAGAGCCTCTCTGACCCTCTGCAGCTCTCGGTGGCCACCGTGTTTCTCACTGCCCTATGGGAGCCAACCACCATAGGGGACAGCCCCTCTGGTCTGACCTCCTGGGCCGGCGTGGAAGCAGTTTGCACAGGTTTGGCAGATCTGGCCACGCCTGTGTGCAGGGGACACCCGCTGGGTCACCTTAGGGTGTGGGGAGGGTCTTTGTGGGGGGAGAGGGCCAGTTTGGGGTGCAGACGCCCTGAGGGCTGTGTTCCGGAAGTCTTTGGCCCAGGTCTTCTGCGCCCCAGCTGGAGCTCTCCTAGCTGCGCCGATCTGTAGGAGATAAAGGGTGCCGGCTAGAACCGCACCCGAAGCTGCTGACCAGGCCTGAGATCAGTCAGCTTGGTGTCTGGCCACTCTTCTCGGGGTGCCCACACTCCTCATTCTGTACCCCCCCCACCTCAGGGGCCCCGA